CCAGGCTCTCGGGCAGCAAACGCCAGGGAGGACCCCTTAGAACGAATGGCAGAGTTTGGTAAACGGGGTGGGTACAAGGGGAAAACAACCCCCGTGGGAGAGATGCAACTTAAAAGATTGAAAAAAAAAAAGATAAAATTTCAAAAGGATACAACTTGGAAGTTAGCACTTAAAATCTATTTTGGCAGAAAATCTGTTAGGACATAGAAGGACTGAACCACAAGACCGACCGCAGGGTCTGACCGGCACACACAGCTTCCGCCCAACAAAAGCAGAACGTGCTCCCCCCTAACCACCCGCCCCCCCAGGTGCCCAGGGGACAGCCACCCAGATAAGCCGTAGCCGCGCCAGAAGACAAGCCTAAGGAACGTAAACGCAGTTGAAGTCATAGACTCTGTCCTCTGCGCATTGGGATCAAACTAGGAACCAACAGCAGGAAGGCAACAGGACAATGCCCGGCATTCGGAAACTAAAGGCAGACTTCTAGACAACCCGAAGCTCGAGAGGAGCCTCAAAAGAAATAAAAAGCAAACAGACAAACAAAAAGCAAAGACCACGCAGACCTGCAGGAAATATCAAAATATGGGGACTCGGCTACAGCGGAGAGGTAGTCCCACGGCACTGAATGTTCACGCGGGAAAAGATGCAACGTGTCCAACCAATAATAATCAAACCAAGAAATGAAGAAGAGAGAGCAAAATAACCCCCAAGCAAACAGGAGGAAGGACATAGCGACGATGAGGCCGGACGCCGGTGGACAGGGGGCAGCAGAGCGATGGAGAAGAGGCAGGACATGCAAAGCGGGTCCTTGGGAAAGGCCACAGGGTTACAACTCAGGAGCCTCGAGTGCCGGACGCAGGCGGCAGGAGGGAGGGAAGAGGAGGACGGCCAATGGCGGAGGGGAAACCAGGGCAACTCTTCCCACTGAGCCTTGCCGGCTGGGCTATTTTTTAAACATTTTAAGGAGAGGTGAGATGTGAGAGAGGAGGAGGAGGAGGAGGGAGAAGGAGGAGGAGGAAGGAGGAGGAGGAGGGGGAAGAGAGAGAGGTACACCGTGAGTGTCGCAGAAACACAGAGACGCAGAAACACAGAGACGCTGTGGAGAGCAGCCCCCATGGGGACCTGTGGGCGGCCCCCCAGAGGCCAGGAGACCCGGTGTTGCATTTTTCACAGGCGGGGCGTCCCCTCC